TCGCAGACCCCAGCTTGCTCTCCATGAGACACACAGACAGGGAGAGAAGCTTGAGGTCAGAGCGCAGGGTCAGCCATTTATACAGCCCCCCTGGAGCAGCTGGGGTTCAGGGCCTTGCTCGGGGGCCCAACAGAGTAGGATTCCTCTGCCAGCTGCGGGATTTGAACCCGCAACCTTCCAGCCACAGGCGCAGATCCTGAGCCACAGTGCCTCCACTCTGCCCCGTCTGATATCTACATGACTTAATTGAACACATCACCTCATTAATTGGAGACACCTAAATTGATCTAGGGCCCTGAGAAATCAATGGTTTAAAGGCTACCTACGGGTTGAGGTCCAGTATCAGGGTTAAAGGCTCCTGGTACTCTGAGTAATGGGGTGCCTCTACTGTGTGAGGTGTCGTAGTCTGTGAGGGACTGTGTGTGTGAATACTCAGACTGGTGTATAGTTTAATGTAGATGTCTGGAGTGATCTATGTTTCTTTGTGAGTCTTCCTGGACTCCCCTGCCTCCCTTGCCTAATGGGTCAGCAGTAATCTGCTCAGAGGGCACATGGACTGGGGGTGGGAGTCAACTACTGTGAGAAGGTTCTACTGTCAAAGCCACATGCTGCAGGGATTTAGATTAGTTGGGTTTTTATGGTGAAGTACACACGTAGTTTCTTCAGGATAAAATAACTTATTCATATTGTTTCTGCATGAATCTCAGTTTTACACTCCTGAGCCTCCCCCTCCACTCCGGTTTCTAATGCTGCTGTTGTCTGCTCACACCTGTGAGGCCACGGGCTAAGCTCAGAAGAGTCATAGGCACACAGAAAACTGGCTCGGTGTCTGTGTGTGTTTTATTAGCTGTGGGTTCGGGTGTGTGGGAGAGAGAGACAGTGAGTAAAGTGTTTTCGTAAGATTCCCTGGAACGGCTGCTGTGGCACATGTTGTCCGTGTCTGCGAGGCAGGTATTTCCAACTCTGTGGTATTCACCGAGAGCAGATCAGACGCTGGGTGTTCTGCGCAGCCGATGACGACTGAGTAACCAGCAACAATGAGGGTTTATTTTCGCCAGATGTTGTCAGGATCCCAAACTTAGCTTCAGATAGACAGTCCAGCCCGGAAGAGAGGCAGCCTGCGGTTCTCTGACGATGGCTCTCTGCCAGTCAGATTTAAGGATGCTCACTTGCTTTCTCTAGGCAGTGCCATACTCACTACAACTGTGGTCAAGCATTCAGCGTCATCCAAGTGCTGTTAGCATCGAGGAAGGGTTACAAATCAGGATTGAAGCTCATCACACTAATCAGGTTGCTAATAGCTTATTGAAGGATCCAGAGAATCTGCTTCAATCCAAGGTACAGAGAGCTTGTTACAAGCTTCCCCCACTCTTGGTGCAAAGACGTTTTGTCAGGCCTCAGTCCTCAACATTTGTGCTCTTGATTTCCCAGCTCTACAGTGCCTTACAGACAGTGCTTGGGTCTTGGTCCAGGCAGTGGTGGTGAGTGGTGTGTTGTGTAGGATGTAACAGAAAGGCAGTTTGCTTGAGTACCGTAGCAATCCCAATGAAAATTTAACTGCAGTTTTGACTCCATTAGTTTTGGTTAAGTCTTGTACTTTAACAGTTTATTCCCAAACTATTCTGTTCTTCTTATGGATGACTAATGACTGACTAAAGGCAAAGTGCATTTAGAACTGAGAACAAGATGCACTTCTTTACACAAAGAGGAGTGGGTGTCCAGAACAAGCTGTCCACCCATTACTGAAGAAGGTTCCCTTGAATCTTTCAAGAACTGACAGATGAGATCCAGCAATGGGACATCCTTGAGTGTGTGGTTTGTGCTGGGCTCAGATGACCCAACCTTTCTCCCTTCTGCGCATGACAGCTCAACAAAATCTAAGAATACTGCTGCAAATTATAGTCAAATTGTACCTCGACTCCGGTCATTATTATATTTCATTGCTGTAAAGGCCTTTACTGTAATAGCTAATCCATTTTATAACTTAACCTCCTTGTTAAGAATCCATAGAAATACATAGTATTGCACTGGCTAGATGAATTACAATCTAATAGCCTTAAAATGTTAATAAATAAAGGAACAATTCTAATATTTTTTTTTCAGGGAAATTAGAATCCAAAGAATCAAGGAGGCTGCTGGTCTTGGATTCTCCATGAAATCCGCCGGACGTAAACACCAGCCCACACAGACACCCGGGGTCGTTAAAAGACTAGATAAATTGCTTCTAATTGGCCGGAGGCGTGAGCACTTCGGCGAGTAATTACAGAGCAGCAGGGCGTCATGGCTGGAGTCAGATAGCAGCCTGTTGAGCACAATCCCCTCCGGTAATCCCTGGTCCCACAGTTCACTGCTTCATCGCTCAGGAATGACCCTGCCTGTTTGTCCGATCTTAATGCTGGAGCAATCTAAAAGCGCAAAGCCAGCCCTGCCTCGAACTGTGACTCCAAACGCTTCTCCTAACCCCAGGCCTGACCACTGCTTTAATCCTGCCAATCTCCCTCATGGCCCAGCATGCATCTGAGGAATGCAAGAGCTGTGCTGTATCGAATGTCACTGAATCAGCCCACCCCAGCGCTCCAGTTCAGCTCAGATTATTGTCATAGGTACGAGTGCAATGAAATGCTTATTTGCATGTGTGCTCCAATACAAAGACATTAAGGAAACACCCCCAAAACATAAACACAGAACAGCAGCAGCAACAACACGTTAAATAACATACATGCAAGTAAATAACAACAAACATCACTGTGAGCCAGTGGTGGGGGTTGGGCTCAGTAATCTGACAGCTTGTGGGAAGAAACTGGCTCTGAGTCTGGACGTTCGTACTTATATGCTCCTGTAACGCTTACCAGAGGGATGGGGGGAGAAAAATGAGAAACCAGGGTGACTGGTGTCCTTAGCGATACTTCCAGCCTTCCTGAGACAGTGAGTTGTGAAAATGTCCACAACAGAGGGGAGCTGTACCCCAGTGATG